TACCAAGTGATGTACACATGAAATTGGAGCTAAAACATGACCCATAAAAACATCATTGCCTTAAAAAACAGCAATAAAATGAATCAAATGTTTAAAACAGATATTCAAGCATCCCTTTGGTTAGTTACTGTTGGCAATGAGGTTAGTAATAGCAAGCTAATGGATTTGGGGTGGGGGAAGGAATATTAATTGCCACATGGTATAAGAAAGTATGGCAGTTAGCTTTGATAGAAAAAATGACTAGCAAATTAAACAACAGAGTGGCATACCTTTATTAGGCATACAGCTAAAGAGGACAGGGCAGAACCTCCCTCACACTACAAAATTTACTGGCTAGTATAATTTTAAACTATAATTGTTTATTAACTCAGATACGTGGCCGGAAACACATTATTTTAGGGGGTGTTGGCTGTATGGCCATCTGTAATCTCATCTCCTGTGGAGGGTGGGGTGGGGTTTTTTAAAATAAGAAAATAAAAATAACGAACTAGATATAGGGTATGTCTGTTATATTCCAACCATTGGCTTGGATGCTAACCATAGCTGTAATGTTCTTTCCTCCTCAGAATCTCTGTTCCACTTCATTTATTTGCTGTTGTATTTGCAGTCCAACTTCCAGGAGGCTCAAAAACAGCATTTTACTCTTACTTCAACCCCTGTGCAGTAGGGTACACAGAAGGAGAATCACATTCTCCCTGAGAACTGCACTTGAGGCCTTCAACATCCTTGAAGCAATGTTCTCTTCAATGCCGCTATCATCTCCTTGTTCCGCAAGCTGTAGATGAGAGGGTTGAGCAGAGGGGTTACCACAGAGTAGAAGAGAGTCACCGCTTTATTGCTCCCTCCTGAAGATTCTGGGTTGACATAGGTGACCATGACAGAGCCATAGAACAAGCTGACCACCGCCAGGTGGGAGGTGCAGGTGGAAAACGCTTTGCGTCGGCCTGCGGCAGAAGGGAGCTTCAGAACCTTCTGCAGAACAGTGCCGTAGGAGGCTACAATGAAGAGGAAGGTTGCGAAGATGATGAAGGAGCTGAGGACGTAGCAGGACATCTGCGTGAGGGGTGCTGGGCTGCAGGAGGCAGCTAGAAGTGGGCCTGGGTCACAGACAAAATGATCCAGGATGTTGGGGCCACAAAAGGGGAGCTGGGAAATGAGGATGATGGGCACAAGAAACCACAGGAAACCAGAGATCCAGCAGCAAGCTGATAAGGTGCTGCAAAACTGGGGAGACATGAGCATTGGGTAGCGCAGTGGGTGGCAGATGGCCAGGTACCGGTCTAAGGCCATGCTGGAGAGGCATAAACACTCCGTTGCCCCCATGGAGAAGAAGAAATAGAACTGCAAGAAGCAGTCACGGAAGGAGATGATCCCTGGAGGAGAGGCTATGTCAATGAGCATCCGAGGTACCGTGGAGGTGACGTAGCACATTTCCAGTCCGGAGAAGTTGCCCAGCAGGATGTACATGGGCATGCGGGACAAACGGGTGTCCCTGAGCACAGTCCACAGGATGCTGAGGTTCCCCAGTAGGGTGAAAGCGTAGCTGGCGGAAAGGAAGGAGCACAGGAGCAAGCGGAATGCGGGCGAGAGGGAGGGGAAGCCCAGGAGAACAAATTCAGTCACTTTCCGGCCGGTGGCATTGGCCAGATCCATTTGCCGCTCCTGTAGATGCACAACATCATTGTGAAGAACAGGTTATAAATTTTATTAAGTAAGTAAGTAAGTAAGTAAGTAAGTAAGTAAGTAAGTAAGTAAATCTGTGGGTTTGGAGTGTATTCTTATGGGCCAACATGGCTGCCTTTTCTTCTTCAGTTCATATGTCTCTCCTCTTTCCCCATGTTTCAACAAACCTAGTTCATCCCGTCTCCAGTGTTCATGTCCATCTCATGTCTAAGCATATTACACCAAGCTACAAGGAAGCTTAAAAAGCATTGGGTGGCAGTGAGAAAGGGTCACATTGAGGAAGAGAGCCACAAATATCTAATTTTTTAAAAGGGGGACTGAGGGAGCAGTTTCCCTAAAGGTGGTAGTGTCCCCAACACATGTATCTGTGCACTGATAAAATACTGCAAGAACAATAGTCTCTCATCCACCTGGTCTAGGGAACCACCTGCTAACACTGCCTCACTCTTATCTGGATTGAGTTTCAGTTTGTTGGCTCTCACCCAGTCCATTATTGAGCCAAGATACACCAGTCCAGCACTCAATCTCAAATGCCATATAATCCCTTCACTTTTGTGCTGAAATTTTTATTTGGATGGTCCATCTGCAGGTGGGAACATGTTCATTTTTTAAATCTATGCACAACAACCCTTAGTATAATTTTATTAATATCAAGTTATAATGCTGAGAAAGCTCCTTCTTTCAGACCCACCACTTTAAGCATGCCTAGGCACCCATGTCTTCCAAACCATTTGTTGTTCCTTGAAGAAAATGCTGTGGAGCTGCAACTTGGAAAGGGAGCTATTTGAAAGAAATACCAACGTGAAATTAAAGGCTCACCTGGTCCACAGCTACTGCCTCCCAGTTCCAGATGCCATTGAGTTCTGGAGATGTCATCTTGAGAAGAAGGCTGATTTCTTGAAATCATAGGATGAAGCCACAGTGGAACGTTATCTCCAGAGTGCAGCACAAAACCAGACCTGTATTTTTTAATTGCCATGTTTATGAGAGCATATTTATCAAGTGATACAGAGGAGAGTTATGAAAATAGGGTCTCCCTGGCAGCAGCATACTGTGGGTTGCTGGTGCCCGGGTTGGGCAAGCTGCTCCCCACTGGAGCCAAGTGGGGGCATGCTGAGTAGCAAACCTACCCATGCTAGAGGGAGCCCAGCAGGCCACAGCAACCCATGGCAGGTGAATCCCCCCAGTGCCCATGCAGAGGAGCGCTGGACCGGGCCATGCTGGGGTTGCCCCTTGCCCGCCTTCCTCCATCCATCCCTGGTCACTGTGGGCCTGGGTTGCTCTGCTGCCTTTGCCAGGGCAAGATGGGGATTCTCACAGAAGCTGGTCCCTGCCTGCCAGAATTGTGCACCTGGGGCCATGACCCCCTGCCCCCATGCTATGCCACTGCTCCCTGGGCCCCTAGTTCAGGGAATGTTACCAAATGGCAATCCCAGTAATTTCCCCCCTATCCCTAGGGTGAATGTAAACGAGAGAGAGAGAGAGAGAGAGAGAGAGAAGGAAGGAAGAAAAGAGAAGCTTCAGTTTCGAGACACACTGAGAAAGAGGCAGTGAGTGAGCTTTCCCAGAAGAATACAAGTGAAACTCAGAAAATTAGAATATCATGGAAAAGTTCATTTATTTCAGTAATTCAACTTAAAAGGTGAAACTAATATATGAGATAGACTCATGACATGCAAAGCGAGATATGTCAAGCCTTTATTTGTTATAATTGTGATGTTTATGACGTACAGCTGATGAAAACCCCAAATTAACGATCTCAGAAAATTAGAATATTAAATGAAATCAGCAAAAACAAGAAAAGTGTGAACACCACAAAGTGGAAATACATGGTGGAGAAAGCCTTTCTACAATTGCCCTGGCTAGAGGTTTCATCAGAGTGAGAAACACTGACTCCCCTTCCCCAGGGCAACGGTTTTCCTGTGTGAAAGGCCCACAGTTACCCTGGCAACTCCCATTTCACAGATCCAAGCATGATCCTCCAATGGTCCATCAACACCTTTATCATGCTTGAGGACTTCCATCCCAGGTGAAAAATAAGCTCAGGCTGCATTTTTACACTGCTAAGCTGTCTCTCACCCAGAGGAGGACTCCAAGCATTTAGTAATTTCTAGCAGCCAGTAATTTCTAACATCCACTAACTGCTTAGAACTACAGGTGCTTGTGCACCCCCAAAACTCTAGTATCCCAAATCTGTAACACTATGTTAAAATAATATTCTGTTCCATATAGTGTTGTCCTGCAGAAGCTGCTCAAGAGGGAAGGAGGACTTCCACTCGCGCATCAGAAAAATCTCCCTGCATACAGAAAAATAGCTTGATAGTGAGAAAACTTGACCTTGCCTCCTTTCCTGAAATGCTGCTTATCTAAGCAACTGATACTAATCTCCCTTCCCTGCTGGACCTGAAGAAGGCACTGAAATCCAAGCTATTATGGGAACAAACAATGGGTTGACTGTCTTGCTTCCCGTAATTACCCCAGTGGAGATCTTTAAAAACAGACAGATGCAGGGCATTGATCTCCTCCCCACTGGGGGGGGGGCAGCTTGACCCTTATTTTTATTATAGTGCTAAGCTACCTCTTAAAAAAGGTAAAGGGACCCCTGACCATTAGGTCCAGTTGTGGCCGACTCTGGGGTTGCGGCGCTCATCTCGCTTTATTGGCCGAGGGAGCCGGCGTACAGCTTCCAGGTCATGTGGCCAGGATGACTAAGCTGCTTCTGGCAAACCAGAGCAGTGCATGGAAATGCTGTTTACCTTCCCGCCAGAGCGGTACCTATTTATCTACTTGCACTGATGTGCTTTCGAACTGCTAGGTTGGCAGGAGCAGGGACCGAGCAACAGGAGCTCACCCCATCGCGGGGATTCGAACCGCTGACCTTCTGATCGGCAAGTCCTAGGCTCTGTGGTTTAACCCACAGTGCCACCCGCATCCCAAGCTACCTCTTAGGAACAACCTAATTTGCATCTGATATAGGAGAGAGGCTTGCTGAAGTATGGATTGCCTTGCACTGCTGAAGAGGGTCATTTCTTAAAAGCATAGAGCAATCCAAAAAAACAAGAGACAAATATTTTGCCTTTAAGAGGAAGTACATGCTCATTTTTTTTGAAGGAAAAAAGCAACTGTTCTTCATGGGATAACACTGTAGAGAAATGGGTGATATCCATTTATCTAGCACATGAACTCTACAGGACAAACCATATTTACCATGTCTCATTGTGTTATCATATTATTTTATTCCAGTAGGTAGCCGTGTTGGTCTGACGCAGTCGAAATATATAAAAAAATAAAAAACTTGTCCAGTAGCACCTTGGAGAGCAACTAAGTTTGTTCTTGGTATAAGCTTTCATGTGCATGCACCCTTCTTCAGATACACTGTATCTGAAGAAGTGTACTGTATCTGAAGAAGGGAGCATGCACACAAAAGCTTATAACAAGAACAAACTTAGTTGGTCTCCAAGGTGCTACTGGACAATTTTTTTATTTTCCTATATTTTTTTATATTGGCATTAGCAATTTTTACTCTCTCCAATTCAGTGTTTATATGAACTTTATATCATCATCAGCATCTAGATCTGAACAATGCCTTCAGGTTGAGTAAAAAGGGTATGTGTGTTTAGTTTGCCATCTTTCTTATTTCAAAATGTAACTAAATTTCATTTTAAAAAGTGAAATTAGGTAATTTCTCATTAAAAATGCAACAAAAATAATTTTTCTCCCCCATTCCTAAGCATAAGACACACACAACATCCCCCAAGTCATGTTGTTATATAAAGGAACTGTTAATCAGTTTAATTTTGTTTATTACATAATAGATACACCAAATAATTCTGAGCCGATAATGTTTGACCCTTGCATTCTAGTTCTCAAAGGAAGAATATTCTTATAGTGTCTTGTGGTTGACAGGCAATGAATACTCCCATCCCTGACCTTCTCCCCAGCTTAGTTTTTGGAACAGAGCTGGTCCAAGACATTTTGCTGCCTGCAGACAGGATGACACACACCCCTGTCTCACAAACTTGACTGTCAATATGATCTTTTTAAAATTACTGGCGACAGGACAGCACCCTCCAGTTGTCCCAGTGACAGTGGAATCATGTAGGGGGTGACACTGCTCTGGGCTCCAACATCTCACCAACACTCCCTGACATCCAGCATCCATTGCCTGAAGCAGTGATCTCACTTTGCCCAATGTTAGGGATCTTAACTGAACATTACAATGTGGTTGAGGAGGGATGTTCATTCTTCTGGTCAAAACTAAACACACCCATGATTTCTTCAACAGACTGATTTGGTATTGCATTCTCCTTCTCCTTCTTCTTCTTCTTCTTCTTCTTCTTCTTCTTCTTCTTCTTCTTCTTCTTCCCACTTTTTCACTCTGTCACAATTCTGCCCCGCCATTTCTCTGTGTTCCTCAACAACCGTCCCAGTGCCTCTTTCACCTGATCATTCCTCAGGCAGTAGATCAGCGGGTTGAGAAAGGGGGTAACAGCGGTGTAGAACAACGTCACGGCCGCATTGAGATCTGACTGGCTTTCTCCACGTGGAATTAAATTGACGGCTGCTACTGATCCGTAAAAAAGTGTCACCACAATTAGATGGAATGATATTGTGGAGAAAGCCTTCCTACGATTTCCCCGGCTAGAGGCTTTCACCAGAGTAAGAATCACAACACCATAGGAGAGCACAACAAATAAGATATTGACTAAAACCCCAGAAGTCATAGAAAGCTGACAGATGAAAGGAACATTTCCTAGTGGGGGGCAGGCCAGGGACATAATCAGCCCAGGATCGCAAAGCAGATTATCAATGATGTTTGGCCCACAGAAGGACAATTTGGAGATCAAGGTCACTGGGACAACATTCCACAGGAAGCCAAGGACCCAGCAAGCAGCCACCAGGGCATAGCAGGAATCCAGGGACATAATTTGTGGGTAGCGCAGTGGGTGGCAGATGGCCAAGTAGCGGTCCAGGGCCATGACTGAGAGGAAGAAGCATTCGGTGCTTCCAAGAGAAAAGAAGAGGTAGAACTGAGCCAAACAATCGCGAAAGGGGATGATTCCTCCATGAGGGGACGCCAGGTCAAAGAGCATCCGGGGCACAGTTACACTCACATAACACACTTCCAGCCAGGAGAAGTTGCTCAGCAGGACGTACATGGGAAGCCGGGATAAATGGGTGTCCAGGACCACCAGTGTGATAATCATGAGGTTCTCGGCCAAAGTGAGAATGTAGAGGGTGGTGAAAAAGACGAGAAGCAGGAAACGTTTCTGTTGCCCATCTCCAAAGCCCACCAAAATGAATTCCTGGATGGTGGTCCCATTAGCCATCTCCATCTGCAAGTGAATAATAGAACCATCAGCCCATGCCATAAGCAAGCATCAGCTGCCTGTCTCCTTGTCTGGAGGACAAAAGCTATGCAGAAATGCCTATTAGGTGGAGTGAGAGAGGGGACTGTTGTAACCCCCTTCCCATATATTTCAGATCACATTTTGTCACCATATGCATCTTACAGATATATTTTTAAACCCTGGTAGCTAAGCAAACACCGAGTTAGTTGTGTTTACCATAATGTGTGAGATTATCCATAGGGAACATACACCTGTTTTGGTGTGTGTGTGGGGGGGGGTATTGTAGAGCCATTAAATGTGAATAAAACTGCTTGAGAGAGAAATCTTTATAAAAACTTAGCTTCCTTTAAGCTATCAAAATATATATTTGCATAATAAAAATATGTGGTAAGAGAGCATAGAACAATAGAGGTTGTTTTGATAAGCAAAAACATGTCTGAAATGCTTTCTAAAGAATATTTACTTTGCAAAGTCCTACCAGCATGATCTCTCTGGCTTTGTCCAAAAGAAGAAGAGAAGAAGACAAAATATTATGTAGATTAAGATGTCAAAAGTCGCCTGCAACTTTCTCTCAGCAGACTCATATAATAAAAATGGGCCAGCCTCTACTATTGTTCTGCTTCCCTCTGATTTTCACACACTGATTTTAGCTCTGCTCTTTGGATCAACAGGAAACAAGTCTGCTTCTTCTTTGATCTGATAGCCCTTCAGATATTTGGAGCTGAATAGTAGAGCATCTCCTTTGCATGCAGAAGGTCTCAGGTTCAATCCCCAGCTTCTTCAAGTAGGTCTGGAGAGACCCTTGTTTGAAACCCTGGAGAGCAGTTGCCGGTCAGTGTGGACAATGCTGAGTTAGATGGATGGTCTGACTCAGTATATGGCAGTTTCCTATGTTTTTCAAATGGCTGAGTCAACTAGGAAGCTTTGCATGGCAAAATCAACTAGGAGAAGATCAGCTTGGAGTGGGGCAAACAGGAGCAGGACAAAATATTCTGGAAAAGGTAGCGAGAAAATGAAATATTTACATGTCCTGTTTACATAGGATGTTGAGAAGCTGGAAGGTGTGCAGAGGAGGACAACCAAGATAACCAAGGGTCTGGAAACCAAGCCTTATGAGGAATGGTTGAAGGAACTGAGTATGTTTAACCTGGAATGAGGAGAGGTGATAGCCATCTTCAAATATCTCAAGGGCTGTCACATGGAAGATGGAGCAAGCTTTTTTCCTCCTGCTCAGGAGGGTAGGACTCAAGTTACAAGGAAGGAGATTCCAATTAAAAATCAGGAAAAACTTTCTGCATGACAGTGGAATGGTTGGAATGGTCTCCCTCGGGAGATGGTGGACTCTCCTTCCTTGGAGGTTTTTAAGCAAAGGTTGGATAGCCATCTGTCATGATTCTATGATTCTACATGCTAACAATATCCATTAAATTTAGATTTTGTGCAGGGAAATGGGTGATCAGGATATGAAAATGCCTTACCCAGAGTGATCGTCTACCCAGCTTTCTCTTGAGATGAGGGTTAAGCAGGACCACTAAATGACTTCCTTGAAATGAGGGTCTTTCCAACTGTTGTTCATAAGGAAACTAAACAATCCATTGCAGCTTTATGCAAGACAAAGGTGTTGCTACTGCTGCTTAATAAAAACTTAATTAAGATATCATTTAATTGCCAAGGTGCCTGCTGCAAGTGGTGGACTTTGGGCTCTCAAATTTCAGCAGTGCCTGTGTGCCACTAAAATTTGGTGCCCCCTGCCTCTCGTGCTCCATTCTACAACATTGTTTTGGCAACCCTGCAGTGTGGCACCCAGGGCGATTCCCCAGCAGTCACGCTATCCTAAAACCACCTCTGCTGCGAGCATTTTTCGAAAGAATTTTCCAGGGTCTGAGTTGAGGAAAGCAGGTTTAAATTAGAATCAGGAGTGCAGCTGGGAAATCTTGATTCTATGCTCAGAGGGCCTTCTTGGTAGTAGCGCCCGCCCTGTGGAACACCCTCGCATCAGATGTCAAGGAAATAAACAACTATCTGACTTTTACAAGACATATGAAGGCAACCCTGCATGGGGAAATTTTTAATGTCTAATGTTTTACAATTTTTAATGTGCTGTAAGCTGCCCTGAGTGGCTGGGGAAACCCAGACAGATGGGTGGGGTGGTATTATTATTATTATTAATATTTCCCCTTACTCTTATTTCTCCCTCCCTCCCTGTGCAGAACTTTATAATAGCCTGTTTACATTTCCTTGAAAAACCAAAATCTGAGCATTGCAAGTGTCACCCATTCAAAACCATCCCTCGATGTTCTCCTTCTTCCAACCCATCTTCCTTTGGCTTGGGGTAGCAGTCCCATTTCAGTACCTCAGTAGCTTTCAAACTCTCGATCTAGCCAGCTGTGGGGACATCACATGCCTTTTCCTTCTGCAATAACAGGCCATGGGATTGTTTGGGTGGTAAGAAAGTGCAGATAAAAGCTAGAATGTCTCTGATAAGTATTTGGTGGCCCTGGGGAATATGGCTCTTAAGAACATTGTCATTATTCACTGAAACACCATCTCTTTAGGGGTTTGCCTCTGCCACGGTGAAACACAGGAAATTCCTACAGGTATTTCTTGTTTACCTGGATTCTGTTTTGCTAAACACCTTTGAGCAATTAAATTGATGGAACGCTTTTCAATGTGTAATGTTATATTATGTTTTTATATATATTGCAAGCTGCCCAGAGTGGCTGGGGCAACCCTGTCAGATGGGCGGGGTACAAATATTATGATTATGATTAATTATAGACAAGGCTCTTCAAGTTTAGTATAACCACACAGAAAACAACCAAATTTTATTATTTGGTTATGGTGCCATCGTTGTGCAGGGGACTTTACAAAAGAAGCTAACAATGCAGAATTAGTCCCAGTGGAAGCAACAGTGTCAATGCGTACAAAGAGCTCTGCTTTCTCCTCCTCCCAATGGGAGCCACTGGCCCCTAATTTCTACTCTGCTGCTAGCTTCCAGTATGAAAAACCAGCATGAACACCCATGCAATGTGTGTAGTCATGTAGACGGGAAAAAAGCTTTGTTCTTTAGTGTGGCTACTGGAGGGAAAGCGAACTTTTT